TTTCTTTTAGGGTGAAAACTAAGAAAATTTAAGGAAGTATTTGATAACATCATTAGAGTGTTTGGTTTGTATTTGTGAAATTAATTCTATAAGTAAAAAGAATGAGTATAGAGGAGATCCATTGAACCATTATGGTGATATCTATTTCTTATATTTTCTTTCTATTATGTTACTAATGTCTAATTGAATTTTTAAGTTTTGGATTGATGATGTAAATATCATATGTAGTACTAATGAGTTCTCTTATTCCTTAAATGATTAAAATAATATTTTTAATATAACCAAATTTTAATTTAATGCACATATATAGTGGCTATATGTATAGTTAAAATTAGGTGTAATGCTGAGCCTCGATGGAGGGAAGCAACCTTAAGTAGACATTTTGAATTAATATGTGTCATACATGCACATAGAGTATGAAATATGCTAAATTCTTAAGAAGATGATATAATTGTAAGAAGTTGGTAGACATCCTTTGTTCCTACAAGCTTGACAGAGAATATTGGGATACTCTCAATATCATTAGAATTAAAAGATATTTATTTGACAAAATATGTTCTTTATATTTATCAATCTAAAATATTATATTCATATAGTGTATTAAATATCTTTATTCGAATTTTATTTAAGTGATTGAATCTCCACAACACAACATCCGTTTTTATTGAGTATGATAATTGTTATTATTTTAGTAGACGGTACTAGTATTACAAGAGATCATATCTTACTCATGAGATTGATACTTTATTTTATCACTATATTATTTGATTTGACATGTATACTTGCATATATTAAGTGAGATTTTATAATTTTTTATATCAAAGAAAATCTAAGTATTGTTAAGGATTGATAGATCCCTAAATTATTTCACAATTTTATAGATTACTACATAGTCCCCATCAATCAATGACATACATATTGCTTACAATTTACTGTATTTTAGATTTAGTTATAGGATTTTAATGACTTGTTGGGCTCTTGAGCTCATTATATATAATTAAATAATTTCAAGTCATGACAAATAAGTAGGAGTTAGAAATTGACCAGGATCCTTCAGGTTCAGATTTTAATTATTTTAGCTATTTTTTTTACTCATGATAGATTTGTTATGATATGGTTATATATATTATGAGTAGTATATATAATTTTTGGTAAATAAATACAGATGTATATATTGATGTTTTAATTAATTATTTTATTTCTAATGATATTTATATTAATAAATGAAATTATGTAGCTCTAAAAATATAAATTAAAAGATAAAAGAATAATTCTTTAAAATTAAATTTTGGGGCATCACATCACCAGCGAAAATTTTTCATCAGAATATTTTGAGGGATTTTTGGTCAAATATTTATGACGGATTTTTGGTGGATTTTTAGATGGAATATTTTTTTATAGATTTTGATAAAAAGATTTTATTAAATTAAAATTAATAAATATTTTTAGTAATTATTGTTAAGATAAATTAGCTAATTTAATAATTTATTATCAAATTAAATTAAGTAATTTGGTTAGACTAAATAAATTATTATTAAATTAAATTAAGTAATTTATTAATTTACGATCAAATTAAATAAAATAAATTAAATATTTTTTGAATTAAATTAAATAACTAATTTTAATTATAACTATTAAGTTAAATTAACTAATTTATATTAAATAATTGACTAACTTAATAAATATTGTTAAATTGCTTTAAAAATAAAAATTATTAAATTAAATTAAACAATTTGATAATTTACTACCAAATTAAATTAACTAAACTAAATATTTTAAATTAATTTAAATAACTACTTTTATTAAATTTTCCTAAGTTAAATTACCTAATTATTAAAATGTTATAATATTTTTTTTCTCTCTCCTATTTCCGATTTTTCTCTTTTGTGTGGCATGTCTCAGCAAAAAAAGAAAATGGGTAGGTTTAGTCTCACACTATTTATTTGGGACTTGGCAATGCTTTATAAAACTAAAAATATGTATTTGCAATTTGACTTAGCGGATAGCAGGCTGGGTGGGTTGGCGAGTTGGGCGACTGCACGAGTTGGCATGTTGGGCTGAATAGAGTAGTTGGGAAGGCAGAAGAAGAAAGAGAAATTAGTTTTAGCAGATTTTTTCATTGGTAATTATTTTTTTTACGTGTGTTTTACTGGTAGAAAATTTGCCGTCGAAAATACTGCAATACAATGAAATATTTGATGTTTTTTTGTACTCTTTGATGTAAAGGGGTTATGTGGTAGAAGTTTAATAAAATTAAAGATCATATAGGCTCACAAAATTTAGAACACATAACATTTTAGTAATTATAGGGAACACAATAATAAACTACGACGCTTCTATTTTTTGGCACCTTTGTTTATGCTAAACAAGTGCCAAAAATTCATGTCCTATTAAGTTTATGCTCTAAATTAAAAAATGGGTGGTTGTGATCAATGTTTAACAAGAAAAAAAAAATAATAAAATAAAATAAAAAACTCAATGGAACTTTTAGATGTTGTCTTGCTAATGTTTGAAACCATATTTCACAATGGATGGTTGTGTTCAATGTTTGAAAAAGTAAATGAATAGTTCATATGTTGTCAATACAAAATTTCAAGCCCTATTTTCACTTTAGTAGATGATCATTATGACCTCCTTCTAATCCTCCCTCATTCATAAGGCAAAATCAAGACGAGTCAGCTAGTTGACCTGTAGAAGAAGAATAATAAGGGGAGGTGAGTGATGCATTCATTCGGGCTGCATGCAAACGTGATCATAACATTTTCTTTGGCGAAACTTAAAGAAAATTGCTCTCTTGCCTCCTCAAATAATTTCAACACTCCCTCTCTTATCGCTAAGATGGAGGTACTACATCCAACTCTAGGTTGCTCAAAACTCTAATATTCAATGGTTTTAGTTTTATGTAGACTAATTGCTTTGAAATGTGGAGGGAGCAATGTTGATTATTGAATATGGATAGTGGGGTTAAGAGTCTAAAATTAGTTTCAGGTGATATTCGGGATCCCAACTAGGAATTGTCTGTAGTAATAGAAGTATTTCTTGAGTATTGCAGGAAGTTTGCCATTTTGAATCGCGCCATGTAATGAAGTCTTTGGTGTTTTCTTGTACTATTTGAGGTAAAGGGGTTTCTATGGTCTAAGGTTAAAAAAATTTAAAGATGATATAAGCTCATGGATTTTGGACATTTTGGAAATTCTAGGGAACGCAATAAACGAAGCACCTACATCGAACTTTGGAAAATAAGACAGACTTCAAATTTGTTGGCACCTTTTGCTTATACTAAACAAGTGCCACAAATTCACGTCCTATTGAGTTCATACTCTAGATTAAGAAAATGGATGGTGATGATCAAGGTTTTAAAAAACTCAATGAACAGTTTAAATGTTGTGTCTATAAATTTCAAGCCCTATCTTCACTTATAAGGCTTGTTTGGCAACATACATTATTTAGTTTTATAGGATTTAGTAAATCTTGTAAATCGAAATTTAGTAACTATTGGAGTTATTAAATCCTGAAAATTGTTTGGCAAGATATGCGGTAAATCCTATTAAATCATGTGGAATTGTTTGATAATGTAATCCATGATTTAAGGCGATTAATTCATTTAAAATTTAAATTTGTTATATTTTGAATTTAATTTATATGTTAAATATGAGTTACATGCTAATTTCAATTTTAAATACCATTAACAAGTTATAATGATAAATGATATAATTAAAAGCTATCTTAATTATAAAATAAATTAATTGATACTTTAATTACAAATTGCAGTATTAATTATCAAATTATAATTTAATTATTTATTTCTACTTCAAATTATATTAATTATGCTAATTGTATTTAATTTTAATTACTAATTATTTATTAATCATATTATATTTAACATATTTTGATTAATTTTAATTAAACTAGTTGAATTAACTTAATTAATTCCCATGGGGTGTAGGTCCCATTGGGTGTAGGCCTAGGGTTTGCTTTTCCTCTTCCCCAAGAAAAGGTAGCCTATTATTTTGAGGATGAGCATTTAAAAATTATATTAATTATTCCCCAAAAAAATTTATATTAATTTTAATTAAATACCTAAAATTTAATATTCTCTTAATAAATCTAAGCACAATAGTATGCATGAAAGTTTGTTAAAAAAAAAAAGAAAGTTCTCTACTTACATTTATATAATTTTAGAGCTATATGAATTTATTTGTTAATTAAAAATAAGAATATATTTTATATACTTAATTATTGATACGTCTACTCCAGAATGCAACAATTATAATTTTAATTACATTAAAATAATTAATTTTCTTTTTTTTTTTGACCTATTCTTTTTTATGGCTTGATGTTATATTATAATCGATATTTAACATTATTAAAATACTAATGTTATATTTGATAAATTTAACCACCAATACAATGTTATGCAAATTTACGTTGTCTTTATAATTTTTATTAAGTCAAATTAAATCATAAAAATAATTTCTTAAAATTAATAGTTTAATTAATTGAGTCAATGATTAAACTAAAGGTAATATAAACTAATATTTAGTTAACTTATTTGTATTTAGGGGTGTAAGTGTGTTAAGCTGACTCGTGAGTTTGCTCTTGCTCGGCTCGATAAATGGCTCATGAGCTGAACTTGATAAACTAACGAGTCAAATTTTAGCTAGCCTTGACTCTCGTAAGTTCATGAGCTGACTGACTTATTTAAAAATATTAATATAAAATATACTTAAAATATATTAGAATTGAAAATTTTAGATACAAAATTGTCAAAAATATATAAAAATTATGATATAATTTTTTATATTAAGTTATTCTTTATTATTTTTCTTATAATTCATTTTTTTATTATTTTATTATAATCATTATTTGAATTATAATTAAAATTTTTATTATAATAAATAAGTCTGTTCAAGAACGGACTCAACTCATAAAATAAAGCTTCACCTCAAGCTCGAAATCAGACTGACTCGAGCTCAGGCTCCACTTGCTTGTTATCTGCCTGCTGCTCTATGCCCTATTTTACTCCACGAAGCGTGAAGAATTCGAGACATCGACGGGACCGACGGCCTCTGAAGGAGAAGAGGAGTTCGTGAAGGGAGCTTGTTGGGTTCAGGCATCGACAGGACTGTCGGCGTTTGAAGGCGTATAGTTCGTGAAGGGAGTCCCAACGGCACTGTCTGGACCGCCGTTCTTCTGTTGGATCGGAAGTAACGACGACGACGGAGGGAGCTCACCTGTTGCGAAGGTAACCATTTTCTCCCTTTCGCGCGATTCTTCGGCCAAATCCCGTAAATCCGCCCAACTCCCGGATTTAGTAAATCTGGGATTCACCGCAAAAAGGTGGTAAGGGTGGATTTATTCTGCCGGCCGAGTCGAAATCCTGTTCGGCAGGATTTACGTTAAATCCTCGTAAATCCTGTTGCCAAACAGCCCCTTTTTAGATCCATCATTATGGCCTCCTTCTAATCCTCCCCAGTTCATAAGGCACAAGTGCAGACTGTTCGGCTAGTTGACCTGAAGAAGAAGAATAATAATAAGGGGAGGGGAGCGATGCATTCATTCGGGCAGCGCGCTAACGCGATCATAACTTTCTCTTTGACGATAGTGGCGGTAATTTGCTCTCTCGCCTCCTTCTCAGACAATTTCAACACTCCCTCTCCTACCGCCGAGATAGAGGTACTCCGTCTAACCCAGGTCGCTCAAAACCCTGATTTTAGGTTTCAGTTTTTGGTTTTATGGAGTCTAATCGTCTTGAAACGTGGAGGCAACAAGTCTTCTACCTGCGAGCAATGTTAATTATTAAATATTGAATCGCGAAAGTAGATAATTGGAGATATCTTTGATTATTGAATATGGAACAGTGGGCTTAAGGGTTTAAATATTAGTTTTCAAGTGATATACGGTATCCCAGGAGTAATAAGAAATATTTCTTGATTATTGCAGAAGGTTTGCCTTTTGAATTGTGCAATGCAAGAATATCTTTGGTGTTGTACTTTTTGAGGTAAAGGAGTTTCTGTCGTAAAAAAAAAACAAAAGTTGATATAGGCTCACGAAATTTAGAACACACGACATTTTAGTAATTCTTGGGAATTTAGCCATTTTTGGATAATTATTTTCAAAAAGAAAGAATATAATCAAATCTTGAAATTATGTTCCAGTTACAAAATTTGTGCTTTTGCAATTTTTTGCTCATCGATTTTGTTATAGTTTCAGACTTGGATTCAGATATTTTTAAATGATTTCATAGAAATTAATCATACAACGAATTTTTGATAATGGTGATGATAGGGTAAAATTGGATTGGAGGAGAGTGAGATTTATCCCTTTTGCCTGAAATCTGGACTTTCAATTGGAGTAATGCAAACCTTTATAGTGATTGTTGTACGGATAAGAAATTCATAATTTTGATCTTAAAATTTTGAAGTAGACTGACAATGTTGTCATCTTTGAATTTGTTGCTGATAAAGCTCTTTCTTTTGGCTCCATAAATATAAAATCTAATTTAGCTTCGAAAGTCTATAAGCTTCAAATCATCATCAGCCTAGGACTGCAAAGCAAAATATCAGTCCCTCTATCAGGTTCTCTTCAACAAATTGATTTAGTTAAAAAGTGGAGTTTGGTTTCTGGATTTAAGTTTGTAACTTTGGCTGAAGATACAACATTGGTGATTTTGCAGTTTTGCTCTTTGATTTTAGTTATAGTTTCAATCTTCTGTTCAGATTTTTTTTTTTTTTAAAATCAGTTCTTAGAATGAATCTAACTTCCAAATTTTATATATAACTGATTCTTGACATTGACAAGGTTGATATTATAAAATTGACTGGAACAGAGTTGAATTAATCCTAATTGTCTGAAGTTTGAAATCTTTAGTTGGAGTAAATGCAGATACTTGAAGTAATGTATGAAGAAGAGGAATTTATAAATATGATCTTAATATGTTCAAGTTGCGAACAATGAGGGTATCTTTGAATTTATTGTTGCTAAACCCCTTCCTTGTGACTCTGAATATCTAAAATCTACTTTAGCTCTGAAATGATATTAAGCTTCTGATCAACATCTTTCTTGTTAGAATTAATCAGCCCATGTAAACTACTCAAATTATCATCCTCTGCACATGGAAGTTTCGTTATTGATGGTCTGAAAACTCATCTAAAGATTCACTATACTAGATGTTGTTAACTATATCAAGAAGGCCTCCCTATCAAGTTCAGTGTGGCCAAGGTATGATCATCGAGAGGCTACTTGAAGTTTGACCATTCTAGAAAATTTAGTAGTTGAAACGTTATGAAATGAAGTACCCTTGCTATATAAAATATAACTAGGGTTTTAACAACACTCTTAGAAAGAAAAAAAAAAACTGGTTGCTGTCCTATTAGTTTTCTTGCCACCCTTTCAAACTTCAGCGATTATTCTCCTTTGAATTAAAATCATGATTGTCAATCTGTTTATAGTAAGTGTGACATATTCTTATTTTTCTCGAGGAAAATGGATATTGACATATGCTGATGAGGATGAGAGAAACATTTGCCAAATAATTATGAACCTGTTAGAATTAATCATTCTTCAATTTTGTTACAAGATTAGTCATTTCTAATGATGATTTATACATGTTTGAATCACATCTCAAGACAAAAAATGAGTAAACGATTTTACTGAACTTTGCTTTTTCCCGTTCTTGGCGGATATGAAGACTTAAACAACAAGAGCTCTGGGCTTTATTTTGATTTTGTAGGTTTATTGGTAGGTTTCACTCTATAAGGCAAATGACAATAGCTGCTAATAGACTTGTATAACAATGCCCATTTCTTGGACGTAGGCGTCTGGACAGCTTATAGTCATCCACACCAATCAGATTCTGTTTTTTACAATTCCTAATACTGCAAATTATGAAAATTTTCCTTGCAGTTCATTTTACTGTTTTTGAGCTAACCTTCTTTATTGTAAATATAAACTTTTACCAACTGCTATCCCTTCCATGTTACATTTCTACCTGATACATTTGAAACCAATGGTTAATCTGTTTAAGTCAACTACATAATGTGTTTACAGGTTTCAAACTTCAATTGGTTCCAAAAGCAGCGTAATGGAAATGATGAGGTGATTATTTTTCTTAAAATTTTCAGTTATGTCCTTGAATTAATACATCAAATCTCTGCATTCCCAACGGAGAATGAAATTTCCCTAGGACTCTAATGTTATTTTACAACTTTGGTATTGCTTTCCACAGTATTCCTTTTTATTTTTGTTTATTATCTATAGTTCAGTTAACGTATCATTGATGACGGTTAATTTTGTTTTAACATATAATCACGGGTCTTTGTAGGTGGAATAAAATTACCAAAACAATATAGTCTCATTCATTTTATTCTCATCTTTTTCTAGTTTTTCTTTTTGCACATGGCTGCATTTGCATGACAGCCATTGTAGTCTTATTTATTTTATTGTTTGTACTTTCATTGATAATCTGCTTTGTTTCTTTGTATTTTTTACCGTCATATTGTGGTTTTGTTGAGGTTGAAATGGGGAGTTAGATTGGTTCATGTATCTAGAGATGCATGTGTAGCAGACCATTTCAGGTTTTCACATTTCTGTTGGAAGGCTTGCATTGTGATAAGCTTCTTGGCATCCAAGAAGAAAGGGAAACTTTAGAGTAGGTGTAGATTCCAAAAGAAAAAGAGGAGGATAAGAGAAATCAGAAATTATTCATTATGTAACATTTTCTTATAATTAGAGGGGTATTTATAATGTTTGTGTAGACTAAGTTTATGATATAGAACCGGTTTATCTTATACAAACTTAAAAATAGAATTAAAAAAATAAATTAATTCTTATTACATATGTACAGACTATTTAGTTTGTATGTTATTTGCCCAAAAATATTTCTATCCTTTGCTTGTTCTAGTGTCAATGTGGAATATTTTTTATTCATTTTTCTTGTTTTGTAGAATTTTATGCTTGTAGGTTGGTATACCATATTTGTAGCTTATACTTCACAATTTGATTGTACCATTTTAGGATCTAATAAGATTTATTGATGTCTAACACATTGTCACTTACGAAGATAGTTAAGATTGCACATGGAATAAGTGTGAGCAGCTTAAAGTTCATTGACGCATTTAAAAAAATATAAATTTTTGTTTTTTTACTTAATAGATTGATAAATTTATTTAAGGATATTTATATTTAACATTATGCCTTCTTAAATTATCATATGATATAAGAAAAATATTTAAATAAACTAAATAAAATTAAATATGATCAAGGATAATAATGATCTAAACATATTTTAAAAAAATTAAATAGATAATATTTAAATAATGTTTGTAAAATGTTCAAATTATTATATTTTTCTAGATATGTGTTATAATTCTATATAATACATGTATGCAATATTGATCTTATCTGGAAGATCTAAAAAAATCTTGTAGTTAGATAAATTTGTATTCTTTTAAATTTTAGACAAAAATAATGCAAACATAAAGTCATTTGCTTTCTTCATAATTATATATAAATCAACTATTTCTAAGGTTGTGAAAATCGGACCGGTTATAGAACCGAAATGAGAGATTCAAGGTTCTTCAAGGTTCAGTGGTTTGAACCGGGGTTGAACTGAATAACGTAATAAATATTAAAATAATTCAATTATAATATAAATTTTATAATAAATGAAAATTTTAAAAGTGAATATATAATTGCATCAATGAAGACTTTAAACAAGCTTGATTAAAGAGATATAAAGTGTGTTAAGAAGTTTGATTAATCATTAGTATATTTATTTTATAAATATCAATATATTTACAAAATAAAAAATCTATATAATATAAATATAATTTATAATAAGAATAATATTTAATATAATATATAAATGGTTTGATGCAAGCATGGTCTTCAGATTTAACATGGTTGAATTGACCCGTCTGGTTCGATTTTCAAACCGTTGACTATTTCTAATAAATCTTATACAAATATGCAAATGAAATTAAGACATAAAAATAGAAAATATTTTAGGTATTAAAAAATAGAAAAAATTAGCTGAAACATAAATAATTTGAATTTGTTTGCATTATGCAATACTATATATATTATTTAAAGTGAATGGATGTAAATAATTTAAATTTGTTTGCATTACAAAATATAGATATTTATTGAATGTATAATTTAAAATGTATTGATGTGATTTGAAATGAAATTTTCTATTAGTGATCTAAAACTCTGAGACCCTTGGAATTAGTTTTATCAAAAGGAACTGCAAACTTAGTTCATCAGTGATATATTAAAGTATATATATATATATATATATATATCAATAATTTTCTTGCTTATCTGTTGCTTTCTTTGGCATATGATAGAAAGCTAGCAGTAAATAACTGCAGTTTTAGAGATGTTGAAATTGCATCTCACATAAAATTATTATATTATTAGACTTTGATCTGCATGCATTAGAAAATTTAGACCCTAGAGCATCTTTTGCGTCGCTCAGAACAATGATTAGGTTTGCATCTATTATGACCGGTAGGCTATGGGTTCAATTGCCAAAACTGTTTTTATACTGTTACAAAGGTAAGTTTGTGCCCACCAACCCATCCCTTGATCCCATATTTTACAGCAATTTAAGGTGCTGATGCACTTTTGTTTCCTTGACATGCTTAATTTTTATGGTATTTTTGTTGCCCATGAACTCACTCGATTAAAGCGTCATATCATATAGGATAGAAGGTATTTCTTTTGTTGTGATGATAAATATATGATTAATGCTCTTTGAAATGAGTGGCAAATATCAAATTATCTGTATTTAGAGTCAAATTTATGCCACATTTTCATCTTTTAATATTTGTTGTCTTTAGTTTGGCATTGTATCAGATTCTTGTCTAGGTCTACCTTATATGTTCTTCTTGTAATGACGGAACACAATGTATGCTCTTTATCAAAATATATTTTGTTTATGTTGACTAATTCTTTTCTCGTGAATTACACAGGTTAGCTTGACATTGAACATATCAGCAGATCTGCAATCTTTGTTCACTTGGAACACGAAACAGGTTTATAAACATTTGAATTTTTTAAATTATTTTGAAAGTCATGCTTTACATTTATTGATATCAAGTTAGTCGTGTTGTAGGCATTGCCTAGTGCATCGTGGTCTAATGAGTCCTCCAATGTAGGTTCCTCTATCATCTGGTTTTCTTTTTTTCAGCTGCAGCATCTCTTGCTGTAGCCCTGTTCTCTTCTCATAAATTAAATTGGTGAGCGTTTATGGCCTTGCCTTTTGGATTCTCAATGACATGAATGATCAATTTCTTTCAGTCATGAAGTTGTGGTACCAACTGCCATCTTTTACAAAGTTCATTCATAAACCAGCCCTATTTACAAGTATATTCTATGACAAACTGACAAAGATCTGAACTTGATACTTTCCTTTACAACATTGCTGAGTTTATTATGGTTGGATATCGGGATTAATTGTTTAACTTTTCTGTATGATGGCTATGATTATTTAGGTTAAAGCAATATAAGAAACCAGCTGTAATAAAATTTTCAATGGTTGAATTAATGACGCATAAGATGTATGTGTACTACTAATTCTAGGTTGATAAATTAGTCAAGGTTTATCCTGAAATATTTAAGTGAATGAAATACTTTCTTAGAAAATGAAAAAGTTTGTGGCAGTTTGGATTGGTATGTTAGGCGAACATCAGTGCCTTAATGATCACCATTAAGAGTTTGTTGATGTCATATTATTGGAATGATGCTTCGGCTGTGTGGCTGATGTTTGGTGGCTTTAGAAACTTTTCAGTCTGTTACTTAGGAAGCTTTGGTTTTGAAATGCCTTAACTGATGCAGTGCTATAATTTGGAGTGGGAATTTAGAAACTAGTTTAATAATTCTTTTTTTTTTGTTCTTGATTTTTTAGTTACTATAAATTGATTTAGATGTAAAAATTTTGATAATTGAAAAAGATATAAAGAGACACGTAAAAAATCTAAAAAAGCAATATGCAATGCAAAGATCTTAACTTTTAATGTTTTATATAATAGATTAGATATTAAGGAGGGAGAAAAAAATATGTATAAGTTAGCCAAACAAAGAGATAAGAGTAGTAAGTTACTATAATTTGGAGTGGGAATTTAGAAACTAGTTTAATAATTCTTTTTTTTTGTTCTTGATTTTATAGTTACTATAAATTGGTTTATATGTAAAAATTTTGATAATTGGAAAATATATAAAGAGACTCGTAAGAAATCTAAGAAAGCAATATGAGATGCAAAGATGATAGCTTTTAATGTTTTATATAATAGATTAAATATTAAGGAGGGAAAAAGATATATGTATAAGATAGCCAAATAAAGAGATAGGCGTAGTAAAGATTTAGTTCAAGTGAAGTGTATTAAGGATGAATATCAAAAAATACTTTCCTTAGAAGATGATATTCAACAAAGGTGGATGAGATATTTTGCTAAACTTTTTAATGAAGATTATGAGAATATGATTGACTTTAGTGACCTTAGCACCCTAAATGAAGATAAAGATTTTTGTTTTTATCGACATATTAATAAAACTAAATTTAGAGAGGCTTTAAAGAAAATGAAGGGTGGAAAAGCTGTTGGACATGATGATATTCCAATAGAGGAGTGGAAAACTTAGGAGATGAAGGAATTTCTTGGCTTAATAAACTTTTTAATACTATTTTGAAGACTAAACAGATGCCAGATGAGTGGAGAATGAGTGTGTTGATTCTTAATGTATCGTCTTATCCTCCAATCATAAGTGGTTTAATCTAGGGAACGAGGACTGCCATGTCATTGATCCATGAGGTGCTGCAGCTAGGGATCTTGCCAATATCTCATGCCATGGTTGTTGCCCGCCAAAGGTTTTGCTCGGTTCCGCAAGCACTGATTGAGGCTGCCTTTCCAATTTTAAGTTTCAGTTATACGAGGGAAGAAATTTTAGGTTTAATTTTCATCAAGCAATCTAGCTCGCCCTTTGGTTAAAATATCATCAATTGGATCTAAGGGATATATAAAACACCTTGATCTCAATTATGAATTTGTTTCTTGATGAAGTGTCGATCTATCCCTCATGTTTAGCTTGATAATGATATATCTGATTGTGAGAAATATTGATAACGAGTTTATTGTCACAATAGAGTATCATTAGAGTCTTAATAGTCATTGAAGTGCTTTTTTAAGAGTAGTTTGAGCCAAATTAATTGGCTGATCTCATTGGCCAACGATTTGAGTTTTGCTTTTGTGCTACTTGTCACCACATTTTATTTTTGCATCTCCAGGTTATAAGGTTACCTGATATATATGTACAATAATCAGAATTAGATTATTGTTCAACAACCATGCCCAGTCATCATTGGTATAGGCTTCTATAATCTTTTCTTTTCTAGGGAATCCTTTTAGGTACTTAAGAATTCTAGTAACACCATTCATGTATATTCTTTGTAAGGAGCATGCATGAACCAACCCACTAAACTTACAACTTAGGCAATGTCAGATTTAGTATGAGCTTAATCTTAGGCAATGGGTTGTTAATCAAGTTAGGCAATGTCAGGTTTACACCTTACGCAATGAGATGTTAATCAACCATGTTGGTTGTCTCGATCAAATCTTTGGCGTTCCCTCCCCCTCCGAAGTGGATAAAGTGATAGGGACATTAGATCATGAAAAGTTTATCAGAGATGTGGCCGACGATCTACGGTCACGATCGCGCCTATCTATTTTTGAGTCTTCATATGCATTTATTTTATTTATTTGCTTTATGTATTTGTTTTAGTAGCATTTCCCATTTTGCCCTAAGGGTTTTTGTATCTTCATATGTATTTGAGTTTTCAAAAAATGCATTCTTCACATCTAGTTGGTGAAGTTACTAATCCAAGTTGATTTCCATTGATTGAAAGACCTGAATATTATTGAGTTTTGCAACATGAGCAAAGGTTCCAGAATAGTCAATTTTGTAGGTTTGCGTAAATCTTTCCACAACCAATCGTAATTTATAACTTTTCTAAGGATCCATGAGATCAATATTTTATAGTGAATATCCATTTACATCCATTCCACAAGGATGATACCCTTGAGTTTTTGAATGAGTTCTCAAGTGTCATTTTTCTCAAGGGCCCTTATTTCTTCTTCAACCATCTCCTTTTTTATTTTTTTTGAAATTTTCAGCCTCTTTTCATACTAGTTTGTGAGTTACTTAATATAGTTAATTATGAAATTAAAATCAGAATTTTAATTATATTAATTTAATCCTATGTGGTCCCCACTTACTCAAAACCTAAAGCCACATCACCCCCTTTACATGGCTGGCCCTCTCTCTCTCAATCTCCCCTATTGATTTTCTTAATTGCACCTTTAATTCCTTCCCTCATAATCTTAATTTCAAATTCAAAATTCTGAAATTGAAATTAAGAACTCTCCAATTTCGGAAATATGAATTAAATTTCAGATTTTAAGCTTTTCCCCCCATAGCTCCACCCGCCCCTATCCCCTCTCCAACCCGTGACCCTCCTCCCTCCACTTGCTCACGGCTTGCTCTCTCATCTCCCCTCTTTGTCTTTCTTCCTCACTCCCATTATGCATAGCGGACTCCGAATTTGAATGGGGACTTGTGTTCGACGCCCACGGTAATCTCGACATCCTACAATCTCCATTCTTCGACGCGGGATTTGACTCCGACGACGACACCGTTGGAGCTTACTTGGATCGGATCCTTCCCACCCTCATGCACGTCATTGACAGACAAAGTCCAGACTATGAGTGGACCATCGGCGGCCGACCTTCCATGCCACCTCCACATCCTACGCCTTCCTCTCTATCACTACGGATCGCCGGCATCATCTACCTCGGAGTGGTCTCATCCCTTGTGTGGTTCTTCTTCCTCCGACAACCCTAGACATAGAAGAGTGAGCTTAAGCCTTAAGGTGAGACGATCGCTTTGTTAACCGCCGGATTCTAGTTGGCTTTTCATTGTCATTACTTTTAATTGACATCGTTATTTTATCGATCTTACTAATTTAGTTGTCACAACTTGCCTAGACTTGGTTAAAATCTAAGATCTTTTTTTTTGAAGTATCAATTGTGAGAAGCATCAAGATTGTACTATCATTACTTCAACGAACTTTTATTAATTTTCTAAGATTCAATTCCTGGTTTCACATCATTAGATCATGAAAAGTTTATCAGAGACGTGGCCGACGATCTACGGTCACGATCGCGCCTACTATTTTTGAGTCTTCATATGCATTTATTTTATTTTTTTTCTTTATGTATTTGTTTTAGTAGCATTTCCCATTTTGCCCTATGGGTTTTTGTATCTTCATATGTATTTGAGTCTTAAAAAATGCATTCTTCACATCTAGTTGGTGAAGTTACTAATCCAAGTTGATTTCCATTGATTGAAAGACCTGAATATTATTGAGTTTTGGAACATGAGCAAAGTTTACAGAATAGTCAATTTTGTAGGTTTGCCTAAATCTTTCCACAACCAATCGTGATTTATATCTTTCGAAGGATCCATGAGATCAATATTTTATAGTGAATATCCATTTACATCCATTCCACAAGGATGATACCCTTGAGTTTTTGAATGAGTTCTCAAGTGTCATTTTTCTCAAGGGCCCTTATTTCTTCTTCAACCATCTCCTTTTTTTGTTTTTTTGAAATTTTCAGAGCTTGCTCTATTGTTGGAATTTCAACCTCAGCTAGGTTGGTGATCGAGTTTTTTTTTTTCTTGAAGGAGATAAGTGATCATAGCTTGCTACATTTGTAAGAGGATGTTGAGTATGAGGATGCACATCCCTTCTATGAATAATCTACAATAATAAAAAAAGGAAGATTTTGTGAGTTAAGGAGTTTAGTTAGGAGTCTTGATTGGCTTCATCAAGTAGAGAGGTCTTATTTCTTTATAGACTCTTTCTCCAAGAGTAGACAGAAAATTCAGTTTGGTGTTGAGGGATTGAGTTAGCTTCAATTTAGTTTCAGTAACATAAATATTATTGGGTTTGGAAGATTGATAGTGATAGTGGGTAGGAGATTTGGGAGGAAAATAATCAAAAATTTCCTCCTCTTCGATCTGCCATTGAAGGATTTTTTTTTTTGAAAATTGACATCTATGGATAGAATGTTTTCTATTCTTAGGACAATAACATTTGTAGTATTTTTGGTTTGCCTCGTACCCAAGAAAATACATTTTGAAGGGTTTGGGATCAAGTTTATTCATATTTGGTTCATGATTGTGTACAAAGGTATGCATTAAAAAATCTTAAGAGGAAGGTTTAACATCGCGCATGTGTTTGGAAAGTATTTGGAAAGCACATTAGTTGGATTTTTGATTTGGTGCAAACCAGTAGATTGATGATTTATGAGGTAGCAGACTGTGAGGATAGCATTACCCTAATGATATTTGAAGTAGCAAAGGCAAACATAATGGATCCAGCCAATTCTAATAGATGCCTTTTTTTTTTTTTTCTGTTCGATTATACTAATTAAAATAATCTCCAAGAATGTGGTTAATGTATTGCTTACCTCTACTAGAATGAAAAAAAAAAAAGATTGCAGTACATGTTTTAGATATCTTGGGTCTACTGTTCAGAGTGATGGTGAAATAGATAGGGGTATTATTAGTAGAATTCAAGTTGGATGGTTGAAGTGGAGGAATGCATTGGGCTTGTCGTGTGATAGAAAAGTACCTCTCAAACTTAAGGGAAAATTCTATAAGATGGTGGTGATACTCCCAATGCTTTATGGTGCAGAATGCTGGTCATTAAAAAGAAGCATAATATTAAGTTAAAGTGTTGCAGAGATGAGGATGCCCAGGTGGATGAGTAGCTTTACTCTTAGAGACATAATACAAAACGAGCATATATGTGAAAAGGTTGGAGTAGCTCTAGCGACAGATAATATTAGAGAGAGTCACCTTAGATGGTTTTGTTACATAAAATGGGGCCTTCCGATGACTCGGTTAGGAGAGTAGATGTGTTAGATTTGACTTATGTTAAGAAAGGTAGATGTAGACCTAAGAAAGCTTGGTTAGAAAATATTAGAAATGACATTTCTTTATTATATTTAAATGAAAATTTGGCCCTTAACATGACACAATGGAGAAAAAGATTCATGTAGCCGACCCTACATAGTGAGATAAAGGCTTTATGTTGTTAATATCAAACTCGATGTGTGATATTATTGCCTTAGATGGTTTGGTCACATAAAACGTCGGTTTTCCAATGACCTTGTTAGGAGAGTAGATGTATTAGATTTGGCTTATGTTAAGAAAGAAAGATGTAGACTTAAAAACATTTGTTTAGAAAATTTTAGAAATGACATTTCTTTGTTAGATTTAAATATGAGTTTGACTCTTAACACAACAAAATGGAGAAAAATGATTCATTTAGCCGACCCCACGTAGTGGGGTAAAGGCTTGATGATGTTATTGTTAAATATAAGCCTAATAACAAAATAAAATAGATATGATACCATGGATTAGTTTGATCTGGGCTTTGTTTGGAAAGTCCTGTCATGAATATGGACTTTAGTTGATAGACTGCCTGCTTGATTCTGGGCTTCAGTTCATATGCTACATTATATTATTTTATTTACTAGATGCTAACCGAACTTCTATGTTCAATGTCATTACTTTGGTGCTTCCTAAATCTATGAGGCTTGCTAATACAACTCTTTCTTTCTAGTGAGATTTATTAGGTTTGAAGGTTTTGCAAATTATACGACACATAATTAGCAGTATTCTTGTCTCAATAGGTAACTTATTTAGCTATTATATGCGATAATTGTAAAGTATATGCATTTGCTTCATATAACAATTATTTTTGAAAGTGTTGGTGCCCTTGAAGAAATATGGTTTCTCAATTCGCAAGGCACAAAGCATCAAACCACACAATCACCTTAGCTAAGTGATGTGCTAAAGGTAAATAGTTATTTCTATCTTTCCTTATGAACTCATTTTAATTATGAGGCATACTTCTGTATAAAATGATAATTCTCACATAGCATTATGCTAAGTAAAGAAAAAAATCATGTGCATAACAAATTTAAATATTGCTAAATTGATTATTTTTATAATGTTATGAAAAAAAGAAGTTTAAATAGCTTATTCAATACAACTTAAGGTTGTAGAATGGACGATCTTAGGATAATATAATATTTGGTATTATTAATTCCGTTTTCAGTTGTTAGAATTGTAACAATCTTGGGATAATTTAATATTAAGTACTAGTAATTTCATTTTCGTTATCATTGATCCTCTCTTCATCTTTGAATTTGTAGTCCTCCATCTTTTTCTCTGTTTCTTTAGAACTTTTCCTCAAGATTTATTATTATAGAACTTGAAACTCTTACACCTACATTTAGGCTGAACTTGTTTCCCAGTGTGCATTCTTATTTTTCCAATTCATGCTTTCCACATCATCTTATGTTAAGTTGTCAACATAACCTTCTATGTTTGTTGTTAACACCTATCAATCTAATCAAGATAAGTTGTCAGTTAACTGCTTATTTGTTGAAGGCAAGTTGCTTGAGTAGGCATCATTTTAGTATAACATTTCATTGGAAAGAGAATATGGTGCTATGGTCTGACCTCATTCCATCTAGGCTCCTAGATGGGAGTGCCACTCAAATCACCTTAACGACATTAATTGTAATTGTAGGTCTTAACAAACTTGAGATGTTAAATGAGATATTTAATTGAGATTTTTTATTCTAATTCTTTCATAATTGTTATTTTAGTTGGCTGAATTGGCAATGGTTTAACCAGAACTAAAACATGAATTCTATTTTATTTGTTTTTTATTCTATTTATTCTGCTTGTATGTTCAGACACCACATGCGCATTTAAAATTATACATCTGATTTTTATAGCATATGTTCATCGAGCATGGTCTTGTTAATGTGCTTGATTATGGAATTCTGGTGCATTGAAGCCATCAAGTGCGTGAAAGTATAATAAGTGTGGGCTAGCCCGAAATGTTAAGGGTTTCCAATTAATCCATTTTTCTGTTTATTGGAAATTAATGCATCAACTTGAATCCAATGCAAGGTTTTGTTTGGATGGTATGGATTTAATTTAGTTTGATGAGCTTTATTGGAGCATGTGGAATATGGCTGGTGATTAGCATTATGTCCTATCCAATAGGCTTTGTTTTGTTGAGTGAAATTTCAATACTGTTTTCTTGTGGTTTTATGAACGGATTCTTCGATATATTTCAACTGACAAAACAGAACAGTGCACCTTTGAAACATAAACGATATTTTATCGCATCTACAATCTTCAGTGCTAGCCTTACCTACTTTGGTAAGTCTGGAAGGCAGTTAATTCTATGGCTTTAAATAGGTCTTATGCTGCTTCTTTACCAGTCGTTCAACTATCATCTCTACACAGGCATAGAGAAATTAAAGTCTGGCAAATCGTCATCTTCTTTGGTTGTTTTCTGGCATGAAAACTGCTGAGATGTTTGCTGGGAGGGAGGGAGCGATGTAGGGATTGGCCTTTTTGATTGACCTTAGGGATGATGATGTCCTACGCTCCTTGCTGCAAATTTTGTCTGACCTTAGGGATGATGATGTCTTATGCTCCTTGCTGCAAATTTTGTATTGTTTTTATTTTTTATTTTTATTTTTGTTTCCGTTAACATTATCTCGTTTCAAAAAATGAAGAAGCTTTGTTGGACTCGAGAGAAAACTTTGCTTGTGAGTTAATTGATAAGCCAAAGTCAAGTTAACTAAGCCCTCTCTCATTCTTAAGTTCAACAAGGGTATCTAAATTTGAACTGAGTAGAAGATATAAAAATTTGGCTACTTTTTCTTGAATCAGAAGTTGTGATTTGTGAGTTTCAATTCCATTGTTGGTATCAGCATCTTTAGTTTATCCTGACTTTTTAAGTCGACTTTTTAAATCATTCTCCATTCGTGTAGAGTGCTAGATTCATGTAGGGTGCTAGATGGGTGTTATTATATTATGTGCAAATTTCCTTTTGATGCATATAGCGATGTTGCTTTTTGGTTCAGTAGTTTTCTTTTCTTGATTTATTGGTTCATCTTCTCCCTTTTGTTGTACATGTTTGAATAATCGATATCTTTTTCTTACTATCTTATTTTAAATATAAATATACATGTCACTGTCAACCCCCATCACCCAAGTTTACTTGCAATCAAGTGGCTTGAACTCATTAATTATTCTTAGTGATTGGCCGCAACTTTTTATGATCATGGATCTACCATTTTTAAGTATTGAACTCCATCAGAGATACGAGCTTCATTTTCAGAATCTAAACAAAATAGCGTCGGATATACCGTTTAAGTTCCTTTTAAAATGCATTTTGGAATTCTGATTGAGCTAGAACCCAGGTTCATTTGCATTTTTAGACGTTTTTCTAGGTAGCAAAATTTTAATTTTATTTTCTCTCCTTGAGCTCATCTAGTCAATATAATTTTATATTATGATTCTGTCAATAATATATATGTTTTTTCTGTAGCTTATCTTTTCCTGGTGGTTTTATGGGTGTTAATATTTAGTTTTAAATATATCATCAATTCTATTGTTTTGCAGGTGTTCGTTTTTTTAGCTGCTGAATATGAAACCCCCCAAAATGCCCTGAACCAGGTACGTTGTAGCTATTCACTATTAGCTACATGATTGGATGTGGATACCTTTTGTTCTAATAGATTACCCCTTTATTAATTTGTTGAAGTTTGGTTTTGTTCAATATCACTTCCCAAGTGGAAATTGATTTGTTCTTCACAGTGATAATGGTGTACACGACTTAGCCGGTCAATATTATACACAAACTACCATGATTATTTTAATACATATTATTCCCTTTATTCCATTGTCACTTTCTAATGGTTGGATGCAATTGCTCATCGCTATCCATGTCAAAATTTAACTACTTTTTTTTATTTTATTTTAGAGAAATTTTAAGAGTTTTATTGTATTTTTTAAGAAGAGAAGAGATTGTCCAACAATTATGTTTGGAAGCTATTGTGAGGAAAAAGGATGATATAGTGTTTTTCTCCTATAAAAGATTTCACAAGAAGAGATGAGGGAATTGTTCCGGTGAGGTAGAACTAATAAATCTTATATCAACCAATGTAAAATCTTCATGAGAAGTCATATCATCTAATTCGAGTTAAGTAGAAAATCTGAAATATATTAGGCTCTCTAAATTAATTACACTTGAAGGAACCTCCAAGAAACACACTTGATAAGCGAAACATGTCAGTGTTTTGGTTTGTTAGGTTAACCTAAAAGGATTGACTAAAATACTATTATCTTATTAGGAAGTCTATGTTTTTAAGCATGCCAATCTGGTAGAGGGTGAATCAATGTAACCAAGTGAAATGGGGTTTCTCAACCCATGCAATAACAATATTTGAATTACTAGAAAGTCAATAGGAGAGCAAAAGGGCTCAAAAGGGTGCTGGGTAAAGGAAAGGAGTCTTAAAAAAGATAAAAAATAATATTGGTAAGAACTTCATAAGCATGTCATCCCAAGTTATCAAGTTTAAAATTATTTAACTGTTAAGGTATTCGACACAACCCAACCGTAAGACACTTTGTCAAGGATCATGAATTGCATAATTCAGAGTTGGCCTCGTGATGAAAACTCATACTTCCTATATGGAGGAATTCTAAGATGTAGACTGGAATGGATGTAGAGCTTACAATCCTTAGCATCATGATTCAGCCCTATAGAAAAGAGGGAAATGAGACAATCCAGTTTTACATATTTAGTGCTGTCAACTAGTCTTACAAATCCTGTTTAGGCCAGAAAGACAACTACCTAGCATATTATGATGATACTTAGGAGTATCAGTTAAATTTATGGTCACAAATGATAGTTCTGCCATAGGGAATATGTATTCATGTAAGTTATATGTCATTAAGTGAAAGACATTTCTATTTGCATTTGACTTGCCATGATATGAATGTGTGCCAACGCTTGGGGATTTTAATCATTGGCAAGCTCTACTATGTACCTCATTAAGGAGATATAAAGAGAACAATTTTTAAATAATAAGTTAGCTAGAAAGCCTTAATCATAGGAATTTTTTTTCCTGAATTAATTTTAAGTTGATCATTAATTTATTAATTTTTGTAGAAAATATTTTATCCTAAGTGCCTATCTCATTCTTATGATTCTCACTCAAATTACACAAAACATTAAAAAAGTCAAAAATAGGCAAGCTACAAATTACTCAAAAAAGATAATAAATGCAATAGATACTATGCCATTAGGGCTGAAAGAATAAAACATTAGCTAGTATAGCTAGACAATCATCATTTACATGCCCAGAAGAAAGTAGAAAAGTAACTTGAGTCTGTATAAATACAACCTAGACTTTTAAATCTTACAAAAATGAAATTGGCAATAAGTAACAAGCTAGGAAATCCCTCTATTTGCCCCTTGGTTCAATTTGGGTACTCCATGTTGATTTGGTGGTGGGGTATGTTGCAAACTTTTACTTGTACTTTGTCACACATACAAAGCTTTTCTAGATTGAAATGAAGTACAAATTTATAGAAATTAAATCTGTTGGAAAATAAAAGTAACCACATAGTTTATATATCACATAATAAAGCAAAAATAAATCACATAAAATCATACTTCATAGCAGCATATCTCTGAGCTGACATTTTTAAATTTTGACGATGGCGGTACATTTGGACTCCAAAAAGAATATCTCAATCCTAATGCAAAAAAAGTAGCCAAACTAGTTATGCGCTAAACATTTACATTGCAACTAGTCACGCAACGAAATTATATTCTTGCATATTTGTGATATTCTAGGTGTGAAGTGTGAACATTATTTGAAGGTGATGGATTGACAAAAAAACTATGGTGGAAAAAGGATGTTGATATATATATATATATATATATATATGATCACTTAAGTTTCGTTGCCCTTTTAGCTCACATGGCCTAGCCTCTCTCTGATTTTATTAACTTATTCATCCCAACTAATAGATTTTGATCAAATTGTATTAAGTAATTTCTATCATAATAGGTAAGTTCTTATGCCGTGTCCGCCCTTAAGACCAACAAGCCTGTTACTTTGCTTTCCATATCCTCTTCACTCTTCTTATTCTTTTCTCTCTCATTATCTTGTCCCTTCATGGCTTGCTTCAACCATTACAACATCTCTTCCCGTTGATCCCTTCTTTGCCACACATTGTATTATAATTCTTAATAAAATAACTACCCTTCATGTTACCTTATTTGATTATTTTTTTACGTATCTTATGTTTGACCCTTAGGCATCTACATGATTGGTATCTCGCTAAAGCACATGTCTTGTGCCTCTTATCTTTGTTGTCCTCTCCCTCTCTATGGAGGGAAGTTAATGTGATGTAACGATGGCTTAGGATTTTTATTTCCTAATGCGAACTAAGATGAAACAAAGAATGTAGATCACATAAGAAAATTCACAAACACCATTTTAAAGATCACCAAATGCAGAAAATATTATTTTCTTTAGGTGCAAACTAGAAAATATAGTAATTATAACCCCCATTGAGAATAAAATGATTATATAAATATGAAGAAATTAATAAGAAATTAGAACCATTCTAAATAAACAAACAATTTCAAAATTTTCACAACAATTAAACTTTCAGTTGCATCAAATTTGTACAAAATCAAAAACAATGACAATTCAAGAACAAGTATTTTAGAAGAATCTAGGTGAAGGAAAGAGATCACTAAAGAGAAGAAAATTTATGCCTTATATTTATATAAGGATAATAGTTTTACCTTTGTTACACTTGAAGGAATCTAAATTCAACTTGTGTACACAAAATTTAAAAGCACAAATTTTATTTAATAAAAGTTGAATAATTAATTGCCTCAAAATTTCTATTTATAGACTTATCATTCCCTTTGTTAATAGATATGAGTGATAGAAGATAAAATAATCTTAGTTCAATATATTTTGAAATTCTATTAATATTCGAACAACTTTTAATGTTTATCCAATTTAGATTAAACACCGTCCAAGAAACAATAGAATCCTATAAAACCACTGTTCCACATTATCAATAAATAAAATTATAACACATCATAAGGATAATCCACATGGAACAAAAAAAATTATAAATCTCATGCAAAACAATACTTGCACTTATTATGGTAATGACTAATGATAACTATGTGAAACAACCAATTATAGAATTGACTCAAATATTGGTTGGATTGTACATTGACCATAGGACTTACAATAATCCCATAATTTAACTCGTGCTACTTCTAGAATCTAGTCTATTGTTAAACAATGATAAATGACAAGCACATAACACCTTAAATTATCCACGAACAAAACTTAGTCCAATCTTATTCTAAACCATGTAACAAATTTATCACTAGGGAATCAAAACAATAGAGAGCAGAACCCATTCTCAAAGGCATTCAATATAAATACGTCAAAATACCTAAAATTAAAAATTGCAAAGAAAAATAAAATAGCATCACTAAAATAAACTTCAGATTAATTGTTGACCATATGCTTTCGAAGAGAATAAATACACTGATGCTACCCTTATACGACTATTGGCTTACATCATTTTGAGGGCCTACTTTTTTTTGTATGATTTCAACTGAGGATGTAATTTGTATTGTTAACAAGTCCATTTCCTTGAACCTTGTGCTCATTGTTTTCGATATAAATATTTGATTATCTCCTTCATCGCTAGTACTTGTTGATCTATTGTTACTAAATCACTTTTACAACTAGATCTTGCCCTATCCATTGCATTAACAGCCCCATTTTGACTTTTCCTTTGTTATTCATACAAGGAAATAACGCACTTTAGATTATAACCTTTTTAGGCCAGTGACATTCCAGGTTTTTAGTAACTTGGCACCATCATTATTGATTTGATGATGAACGTCTGACTGTTCTACTTCATAATATAGGATATTTCTCAATTCAGGGCAAGATTGCTTGCTCCTTTTGGTATGTCGGTTGCTCTGAGTTTCTGAAAATAAGATCACGCGGCTGAAACTAGCTTGGGCTTACTTAGAAGTTGAAAATTTTGTAGTTCGACACTTGTATAAATTCTTCCTTTTGCCTTCATACCTGGCTCTTTAAGCAGATCATGGTTTTCCTCTAATCTTATGGAATTATGTTGCTACCATTGAAACTATGTTGCACCGATACGGATACAGCGATACGGATACAGCGACACGGATATGACATGATACGGATACGTGACACGTCAATTCTTAAAAGCACAGGATACGGATACGGCGCGGATACGACATTATAATATATAAATCATACATAAAAATTAAGAAAGTAATTAAAACATAAATGACAAAAAAATTGAATTTTGATAGACCATCATCAGACCCAATTCCTACGCCACTAGAGTTCATTATCCTACGAAGGATCGACACAAATAAAACCACATGAATTTGAAACATAACAAATTTTAAGTAAAAGTATATATATGCCGCAGATATACCGGGGGTCCAAGGGAGCGCTGCCCCCTGGCGGGATTCGACCTGCCTGGTCAAGTCGCGGGGTCAAGGGGCAGCGCCCTGTGAGGGTTTCCGGGGGCAGCATCCCTGTAACAAATTTTTATTATAAGAGTTGTTTTAAAGC